TAGCATACACGAGAAAAATGAGACATAATACTAATTTATTTCAATAACTTACTAAATACTGAATGTATCTGATATTTTATTCTTCCCACAAGTGGAACAGATCATATAGTTCTAATTTTTTTTTTTCCCTTTAGTTTTGTACTTTTTCTCCTCTACTTAGTGACTTAGCAGAATTCCTATACACTGACCCAAACTTCAGCATTGTAAAGATAAGGCATTATTGTTCTCTTTTTTCCAGTGAAAGTGAGGACAAATATATTTGTTCTCTTAGTAGCAGTTTCTTTCATTAGGAATTACATTTTAAGGATATGATTAAAGCAATGATTTCAATTGAACTTTTGAGGTTTGTTCAAAATGAAGGCTTAAGTTCAGAAAAGCACATACATTGTGCCACACATGCTCAAATTGTAGACCTCTTAATCCTACTGCTTTCATGCTATTGCCATGCTTCCATCACCAATGTATGTGTGCCTCATTAATTTCACAGATACATGTTATTTTACCCAGAAAATGTTCCACGGTGGAATAAAGTGAAGTTATTCTCAAGATAAGTTTAAAACAAACTTTTTGTCATCTCCTGCTTGGCAACCTCACTTCAGTTGCCTGTCATTCCTGTCTGATGAAGTTCATGTTTTTGCTTCTCTGTCAAGTACTAGCTTCAAGGTAAAAAGCATAAATGTGCAATTGTTGCACTGTCTCCCAAGGAAATGATGGAAAATGAAAGGGAAAAAGATTATCCCTGCACTCACTATATGAAAATCTGCCACAGAGAAAGCAGTGGGCAGGACTGACAAATATTGAGTTGGGAGGACAATCCCCCACAGACTCTATTAAGCTGTTTCCTAGAGGATGCTAACTGCAATGTATATTTTTATTATTCTTTTGTTATGAAGACCTAAAGCTTTTATTTTTTTTTTTTTTTCCAAATCTTTCTTTTTATTTTATTTTGGCAGCATTTTGAGCAGAATATCATGGCACTCAATTTTTAGCTGAATCAAGTTGGAAAAAGACTTTGGGTAAAATCTCATCTCTTCTAAAGCCATTAACGATTCTGCCCAAGTCCCTTGAAAATTGTACCAGTTAGGGACGTATCTGCAACAGGTGGATTTTTATAGACATAGGATTTTGAAGTCTTTTCACAGACTCTTCTAGAACACAGTTTTTTTTTTTTTTTGTTAAGTTATATGACCTGTAGGATTCTGTCATAATAAAATTTTTAACAAAATAGATGGTAAGGAACACAAATCAGTGTTAATTAAAACAGAAATTGATACAGTTTAAAAGTAAATTGAAAGCCTAATAGTTCAGAGCTGAACACCAGAACTGAAAATTCCTACCTGGAATGTAAGAAAAGGTAGAAGCAGCTTTTTCCCTTTCTAATCATCTTTGGCCTGCCATGTAAACCGGCAACAAAAAGAGGTAAAATCCTTGTCTACCTCATTAATTCACAAGGGAATTAGAGTTCCCAAGACCAGGTTCAATTGAATGTGTTCAAGTTTCAGTGTATGAACTTCAGCTTCATGATCGCTTGAGTTTAATACAATGCCTCTGGTTTTTGAGGCTATTGCTAGAACTGATTAATTTTTAACACAGATGCTGCTCAAGTGACCCAGGTTGGTGGCGAACTCATCTTCAGAAATTAATGGTCTTTATGGATATTTGGATTTTACTTTCTGGATGATGGTCTTTATCACATCTTCATTTTTAGTGCAAAATTAAGTCACCTTAAACAACACATTTCTATAGCATGCATTTTCATTGAATACCAATATACAAGCCAATTCATGTCTTGTAATTTTGGAGTGATATATTTAATCTTGTGTGTAATCTTTCCATAATTTCTGGGCAGTTAAGGAAATGAAAATTAGTGGTATCTCTCAGTATCCTGCAAACACTGGAGGACACTAATCCAAATTTACTGAATACAAAGGGAAGGGTGCATACCTGAGGTCTCTCTTCCTAGGAAAATCAGAAATTAAGTCAACCAGATGAGACAGCATATTTTTTGTTGTTGCTGTTGTGTTTTTTTTTTTTTTTTTATATTTATTTTTTTAAAATCCCTTCTGTAATAGAACATAATTTTCTATATCTCTGCATTAAAACTGTAACCATCTCATTGCACAATAACACAAGTTTTATCTCACACTACAACAATTGATAGTTAAACCACTGCAGGCAAAATGTGTTTGCCTACAGATACTACCCTCTAGCCTCCATGACATATATTTGGTTAGCAACACTGCCTTTCAAAGATGATGATGTCAAGCCATTTTGGTTTTGCTTCTACTCCTGCCTTTTTGTTATCTCCTTGTTGTTTGGTAGCTACTGGCTATAAAGATGATTCTGCAGATGAGTGAAACTACCTTTATGACAGACGTGGTCACAGCAGATCACAACAGAAGAGATTTTTACATTATCCTTATAAAAATGTAATTGAATTATAGACTCAAACATGAGACCTTGGAGCCAGAGACTCACATTTCACTACTGCACAATACATATTGGAACTCAGGGAGAGAAAGTAATTTTCTTCCCACACATCTGCAGGGTTTTTTTTCAGCAAGCTTGTTCGTGAAAAACAAAAATTATTCAGATTTTGTATTTGAGACTAGTATGCTTTTTGTTAAAATATCCAGGCATTTATTTGGCAGATTTATTCAGAGAAACCCTCTCTGGCCCCTCAAAGACACCAGTGACAAGATATATGTATCTCCTTAGGTATCTAAGTTTGAACGCATCACCCTAGGGGCCTTCATCACTCAACGGAAAGAAAGACATGTCCTAGGGAATAAAACTCATCATAAAATAGATGTCAAAAGTAAATCACAAGGATCACTCTTTGGACATTTTGCTTTAAGACATCTGAAGTTAGGCAAGATAAATCCTACCTAAACCTACAGAGTCCAAACTTGACACACTGGTAAAGGAAATGCTTTCAGAGGGAAGTTAGTTTTTATTGTCTTTCTTGTTTTCATCTGCTTCCTTCTTTTTCAAAAGGTAGATGTCTGAAGGAGCGTGTCAGTTAACATTTCTGTGAGCGACATGGTATTTAAATGAAACAAATTATTTTCCATAGTTTCTAGACTGAAATAAGAAAATAACTGAAAACAAACATCAGCCAATGTCTCCAGAAGTTCAAATAAAGTCCTATACGCTGTTTCTTTGGTATTAGATGCCACATCAAGGAGAATGACTGTGAGTAAATGCCTCTCTCAGAGGAAACTGCCAACATCAACAGTATGTGCATGTCAATAACCATCTTGTAAGGAAAGAAAATATAGGGACCTCTAATCACATCTAATCATCCTTCCAAGCAGCAGTTTGGTTTTTTTCCTCCTCTGTGTTTCTAATGTTTCTTATATCTACCCATCACATATATTTGTCAAATGACTAATTCTTTCTGGCAACTGACAATTTAAAACAAAATTATATTACAGAAAAGAGAGTCTCATTGGTTTCCATAAATTCATTTGGGCTATGAACAATTAGGACAATTCTAAGAATAGATTAATGGATAATTGTCATAATCCCTAACTCTCACAGTTACTTTGCAGGATGTCTTCGTGATAAAGCAAATACAAAGACTGGCATTATAGCTGCATAATTTACTATTTCCATCTTACAAAACACCAGACACATTGTTTCTGTATTTTAGGGAAACTAGTGTACAATTATAAACTGTACTCATTTTTAAAACACTGAAAATATATCCTGTAACAAAAGTGCCATACCAAAATTCAAGTTACACTAAACAACCATAATTATAGTCTCATGAAAGCTACATAAAGCTTTATCAAGTAAATGTAGGTGTATCTATCTATTGTTGTAAGTAAACAAATACATTACTTTAGGTAGCAAGAATCATTAACAGTCTGAACTAAAGATGGCAAGAGAAAAAGTCAGCAGCCTCAACTGTCAGGATGCCTAGTGAGACAAGAAAGGTTCTGTACAGCAACAGCATTGTCAGGATAAATAAATAGCCATAAAGTTGGCTTGTGCTGCGTGGAAGCTTGCAGATGGTGGATGAATTCCTGTCTGTCACGTTTTTTATAATACAATGACTTTTAGATATTGCTGCCAGATGGAACACAGTTTTGCATCTTGGATATAAATCTCCACGAAATACAACTTCCTTCAATGTGTTCCTTGTATGTGAAACAAAAGCAAATTCCGAGGTAGGTTTGTGAGGCTAAAGCAGATTTAAGGAAATCTGAGAGAATACAACTTAAATGCTCATTGGCTGCCTTGTTATAACTCAATTCAAAATAATGGAGTTACCTGTGTGTTCTGTATTTTTTGAGGAAAACCAGGAAAGTTATCATACAGACTTCTACAGGAAACTACATGTCATCTATTAAAAGCAAAATACATCACTGGTTGATCCAGAAGACTTTTCAAACAAACTTACTAGCAGTTTGGCAAAACTTTTGCATAACATTTATTCTTGCTTCAGTAAAACGAAATATCTGTCCCACAAGATCAAATGATAAAATTTCAGCACATGAAGCATAAATGCATTTAAACTTTGATGATAGTAATCATCTGTATCTATATCACAGAAGCACCTCGCTGTTCTCCTTGTGTTAAACGATACCTAAACAGACCTAATATCTAATCCAGAGCTAACTATACCAGCCTTTATACAAATGTGCTTTCTCAAACTATCAAGAGAGAACCTTTTGCTTTTATAATGCTTACCCATTACACTAAGCGTTCTCACGTGTGTCTGGTCTTTGTTTTTAATGCAAGCTGGTATTGCTAAGAAGAGAATAACTCTGATAGTGATGAAGTGAACTATATGACTGTAGGGGAGAATATTTTCCCATTCGATGATTTCTCACAAAGTCTGATTTGATGACAAACTTGAGTTGACTTCTCTCAGACAGCCTCAAGCACTGTTTATATGCAGATAATTCTGTGTGTGAACCCATTAGGCTTTTATGACAGTTATAATCAAATATGATTGGGAAACCTTCTGGCTTACTTGGATCCATACTTACATTGTGCTTTGTGAGGTTGGAAATGTTACTTGCTATTGCTTGTAGCCAGTCAATACAGTCTTCAGCAGAGAGACACTGAATTATTCCACTGCAAACCCCATCCACAGCAATTACTTGGAACGCATTTTGCCTATAGACATGTCAGAACAGATCAGGTCAGAAGAAAATTTCATCTGTTCTAGCATATCATCTTAACAACACTTGTAGAAATGCTTTTCTTTCAACTACAACGAAGGTCAGGCACTGAACACTGATAAATTGCTGGTATTTATAAATACCTGACATATTAAAAAGATCATGCTAAAAGGTCAACTCAGAGTATATTAAGCTTCCACAAAGCTATAAGAAATATGCCATAGACTAGCTCCACGGACCAACACTGTGACTTCAGAAGCTAAACAAGTGAAATAACTGATGCACAGCAAAGAGTTAATTCTTTAATACTGTAGATCACAGAGAAGTCAAGTGTGCACTGGACACGGAGGCAATCGTTTGAGAAATTCAGTGGGATATAGTACCTTTTTCTCAACAAGTTTTGTTTCATTTTTTTTCTAATACATTGTTTAAATACAGTAAGATTCCTGTCGGGATAATCCTTGTTGGCTTTCCTTCGTTGCACAGTCTTAACCCTCTTATAAACTACTGATAGAAAAGCTGGAGAATTCACAATCTGATCACGTAGCATTAATGATTTTTCCAATTTAATGTCTGAATATTGGATAATTAACAGAAGACACTAGAATGCCAAGAGACATCCAATGACAAAAGGAATGTCTACCTGGGTGCCTCTATCCCAGCACCAATCTGGGCATCTACACAATAATCTGTCATGTATTACAGACTGACTTTCCACATCTGAGTGCTGAGCAAGTATAGAACAAGAGAAGACTTTCAGATGCCCAAGCAGTAACAAACCTAGTTTCTTCAGTAAATAAGCCTTCTTGGCTAACAGCCTTTGGAAGGCATACACATCTCTGACTTCAAAACCTAAAAAACCCCTCAATATTAATCCATACCCCAGAGTAAGAGATCACTAAACATACAGAGAATACAAAACTCCACTGCTGGCATTCTGCTACAAACATATCCATTAAGGATCAATTTGTAGTTTAAAATTAAGTACATCTTTTAGATTCTTTGAGAATGGCTCAGGCAAACTGAGTGTTATTTTCAGTGTAAAACTGTGATGACAGTTTCTGACATTTCAAGATAGATATCCATTCTGAAAGGTTTTGGTTTTTTTTTACTTCTTAAAATTATATTCTAATTTTGTAGGATGTTGAGCTAATATCTCTCTCTACCACAAAGGTCCTTGTTGCATTCAAGTCAAGTAGTCATGACTACTTTAGTCAGGAGAGGCATTAAAAATGAGTTAAACCCATGCCTTTGCTTTTCAAGTCCCATCACAAGAACTACCTCCTATAGGAGGATTTACATATCCTAACGTGATCATGCAGAGACCAGTGGTTTATCTAAATCCATCAGCTAACTGAACAGTTTTGTTGCCTTTTCACATGGGTAGTGAATTTTCCTTAAAATTCAAAGGTACAACTGAGAGCTGCTTCTTTCAATGACTCATTTTCACTGTAATTCAGGTAAAGATTTTGAGGAAGGTTTAGTTAAAGTATCTTCAGCTAATGTAGCTAGCATTTGTTTACTACATCCTTTAGTTTAAATGGCTATAAATATAAAATAGTAAATTATTCCAGAATCAAATTCTAAATAAGTCTTTATATAAAAGGGACAGCATCATGCTCGGACAAATTTGTTGATTACCTGTCTCAGGAAAAACAGCATTACTTTCAGGACTCCACTTCTTTCTGCTTAGCCTATTGTAAGCCTATTTTAAACCCAAGTAGGAATCCAAGGAATCTATTAATGTGTGACATTAACTAGCACAAGCAAAGAACACCCATTATGTTCCAGATTCAATGGTGATGCACAAATTTCCCTCATGCTACAAACACAGTGAATTTGACACATTCAGGGCATCAAACTGTTCCCAGTGCTCCTATGTGTTTGATCTGTGCACACAGAAAACTATTCATCCAGAATGTTCTTGCCCAGGTATCAATAAGTACATACTAAAGGATGCATGGCTACCTAATCATTAGTTCTGAATGTGGTCTGTGAGGTACCTAACCTTAGACTTAGATTATTGCAAGAGTATTTTCTTGAATTAATCTACCAGCCAAAGTCCACGTTACCACACAAATCTGAAAAAGTAGGTAAATGTTCTCTATTAAAAAGAATAATTAGTTAATGAATTACTTTATAATGCAGCAAAATAGATTAATTCTTTTCTCATTCTACTGCATATCTCAGGTTCTGTGTCTTCTGGAATTCAAGAGTTATATTTGAAATTAATAAGCTTTCCAAGATTAACCTGGAGGCCCTCTGGAATTTTACATGAATACTCTCTGGAATTCATGCATCTCAAGCATCCAAACTAGAAAAAGCTAAACTATGATTATGAGGCATCATAGTGTACGTGATAATATGATGTGTTTCTGTGCCAGTCTTTTCAAATCTCTGAAATATAAGAAGTTATTAGGCTCTACATAGTGAAAACAGCCTTGTAAATATTAACTACAGAAAAGCTAATGAATTAAATTCCATTTCATTTTGCTTTCTTATTTTCAATATCCTTAATATTGCTCTTTATAGCAATCTCCTTTTAAAGTTATCTGCCTTTCTCTCGTAACAAATTTTGAGAGGGAGGCACATTTCAAAATGTTTACAGTAATTTGAAAGACTCTTACAACTGCCTTGCTAGCAACAAAAAATGTTAGCTCCATGCTTTTTTGAAGAAAATCTCACTTCCTCTCTTACATTTATACTGCATTTTTGCCTCCTTTCAGTACTCTTACTTCCTCATGTTAAACAGAATAGAAGGACACAAGGAGAAGATTATGGAATTATTGGAGTAGTTATTTGAGGCTTAAATATGAATTCAGGTATTTTGTTTTGTATAAACATACCTTTAATTTTTTTTTAGAAATTCAAATCTGAGGATTATTGCTGCTACCTAAAAATCCTTCAGTGTAATGTGCAAATTCTACGGTGTGCACTTTAAGGTTGCATTTTCTTTATGCAGAAAACTCAATTTTAAAATGCTAGATCTATGAATAGCTGAATATGTCCTAAATTTCCATGTGAGTAGTTCAATTCAGTATGTCATCTGGAGTATACAGCAGAACAGATCTCAGATTTGACTGTTATGATTTTGGGTCCTTTATGCTTCATGTTCTTAATTATTTCTATTTCAATCATTGTTAACCATTGACCTGAAGGTTTTCACAGAGTTTAACAGAAAAACCCTCCTGCTTCTGTGGTGACTATGTCGTGTTCCCTTTCAGTTCAGCCAACAAGCCATTCTAGCCTTGGTTTATACCTTAACTCCCTGAGCCAGCTGCTGTTTCTCAATAAAACAAAGATCATGAAGCCAAGTAAATATGATTTTGCTATTACCAGTCAAAAGCTGGAGGCTGTTTTTAGCTTCACAGTTATCTACTGGAGAAACAACTATTGCCTAATTTGCTTTCATTTCAGCTCTGTGAATAGGAAAAAGGCTGGCAGAACTAGGTAGTGAACTCCTAAGAAACAACAATCCTTAGAATTAACTGAAGCTTTAGAAGATCTTCGTGAAACTTCCACAAGTTTGCTCAGAATCAATCAGAAAGAAGCTGGCTGTGATGAAGAATAAAATTCACCCCATGCAAACTCCAGACTGAGGTTTAAGAACGTTCCTCTTCCCCTGGTTTCTGGGGAGATCATAAACCCACCCCTGGGGGCAGATGGTATCAGCTGACTGTGAGAAACACTGGAAAGGCATAACAGCAGCATAACAACAGTAAAAAGATATTGGGGAGGTTCTTTCTCAAAATAGTCTTTTCATAAATATTAATGAACCTTTTCTGTATTAATTAGGCAATTTTACATGTGTATGACTGGAGGAACAGGAAATTTTAACTGCTAATGCCTGATGAACCAACAGGGTATAGTGTAACACACTACTCTTCCCAGAGTCACACATCTAAGCTGGCAGACAAGAAGGCTACATGGGAAAGCCAGAGTTTCTTTCAATTAGTAAGGCCTCATAGCCTCACAAATGATTTGTCCTTCGTGCTTATTTTAAGAGTTAATGTTTCTGCTGGGTTAGAAGTAGTAGCAATAGAGAAACATGCTCTATAACTGTAGACAGCTGCCCTCCAGTTCATGACTTACATGCTGAAACACCCAGAATTGCTTAGTATTAGAACCTCATATCTATACAGATGATAAATTAATCCACACAAACCTAGGTATTTAATACTTAACTTTTTAACAAATATGATCCTATTTTTTAGTGACTTGTTGGATTTTGTAGCTACTTTCTGTTATATTTAAATCCATAACAGTTGAAAAACAGTAGTCATTCCAGAATATTCTTGTTTTCCTTTTTGATTTTGTCTCATTTTACTAGGATAATATTAAATAAAACAACAACAACATGTAGGTCTATATGATGCAACAAGTTTAAACATGACTATGAACTTTGGACAGCTTCGCCAGTGATGGGGAGACAAAATTCAATGGTAATAAATGCAAAGTAACCCATATAGGGAAAAGTAACCTTAGTTACATATAAGTGACAAAGAACCTTACTGCAGTTATGAACATTAAGGAAGGAAATGCAAGAGTTACTACAAACAATCCTCTGAAAACCACCACCTTAGTGCTCAGGGGCAATGAAAAGATTACTGTGATGTATTAGGCAAGAACAGAGAAAAAAAAAAAACCAACATCATTAGGCCTTAATATAAATCAAGAGAGATCCTCTTTACAGTCGTGATCACTTTGTTTCATAGAAGATATATTAGAATTATAAAGAAAAGAGAGAGAATAAAAAGGATAATCAGAGCTATGGAAGGGTTTTCCCTAAAAGGAAATAATGAAAAAAGGAAAGGAAACTGAAAATGGAAATGGAAAGGAAAAATGGGAAGGAAATAATCCTTCAAACTGCAAAACAGAAGACAATCATCTAAAGTTATGAAAATGTAAATCAAGAATGCTCATTTATAATTTCCCTTGATACAAGGGTCAGCATCCAGAATCCAGCCTCTTCTTCCTCCTGGGGAACCAGCTGTGGGATGTGGGATCAGGCTGCTGTGACAGAGCTTGAGCTGGGATCCTGTCTGTCTCTTCACTCTAGGGATCAGCACATCAGCTCAGGCTCTCCCCCTTGGTCCTTGCCTGAGTTTGGCTGCAGCTGTGTCTGTGCCTGGATATACATTTCGTTCATTCAGAGCCAACCTGTGGGCTTACTTCTCAGTCAGACCCGAGGCCCACCTCACCATGATGGACTCATCTGAAGACCACTCCTAGAATGGCTTTGCTCCTCCAGTGGGGGCAGTCGGATGGGGCCCTTGCTGCATGGACACCCATTCAGGCTTGCTGCCAACCCCTGCTCTTGGCTTGTCTTCTCCATGGGGCAGCCAGCCCTTGCTGCTCCCAGACAACAAGATTATTACACCCAATGAAGTTACTAGGTGAGAGATTTAATGCAAACAAGATGAAGTGCATTTTAAAAACACAATGACATTGCAGAGCTCAATGCCACAGCACACTACAAAAACCAAAGGTAAAAAAAAAAAACCACAAAACATCTTAGAAAGAAGCTTTTGAGGACATTAGCAGTTACTAAATACGATGACTCACATACAAATCTCAAACTGAGAAACGTGCTGACCACTAGGTGCAAGAGGAAATACCACACATCTTCCCCACATGCCTGGTCTTGGCTGATGTTAAAGCAGAATATGGGCTGAGGTGGACTTAGACCTTTATGAAAGCTCCTATGTCTCATTTTTCTGGCAGCTGCAGTGGAACCAATAATGCCGTTCCTCAACAAAGCAACTCCCTAAGTCTTGTACCTGTCAACCAAGAAGTCAAGTTTCTAGTTTCTGAACTTCTTTACCTGCACAAATCTGATCCTGGAAGGTACTGGGAAAACCGTGAATGAAGAAGTGGAATTAATCGGAGATCACACCACCTTTTTTCCCACCTAAGTCCTGGGGATGCTGGCCATGAGGAACAGGACAATGTATCCTGAAAAACATTGATAAGACAACCTTCTCAGTTTTGGGCTTTATTATAATTACTTAGCAGATTTGGAAAGAAAGATATAGACTCCAAAGACTTTATATTTCATTTGGCATTGTGTTCCACTTTCCCCAAATTGTTTGGTATCAGTTTTGCTAGCATTGGAGAGATTCTGAACTTTTCCTCACAAATCTATATAAACAAATCTATATAAACCTCAACATCAATATGCTTAGGGGAAGTGTGAGGAACAGTATTCTAAAAACCCTAAGGAAAACAGATTGTGTCCTTTTTTTTGAAATGACTAGTCATGAACAGAAGGGAATATTTTCTATATATCACGTTATCAGCTACTAGTTTTATATCTGTACCCTGAATAAAGGTGATCTCTAAATTATTCACTACACATTCATAATTCTGTTGTTCTTGTAGCCCCATGCACATTTTTATACGTATCTATTGTAATGACATCACCTCAAAACCTAGTAATTGCAGATGGGATTTAATGGGACGAGAATTATTTAGTCAAAACTACATGCTTATGATGAATATTTTGGTTTTACCTATTTCCACAAGACATTACTTACATCAAAATTGAACTTTATCATGTCTATGATCATAGCTACAGAGAATGGCAATTTAAATATCTACAGTCTAATTTCATGAGTATTTTTACAGAACACAGATTTGAATGAGAAATGCTTATAAAAAGTGAAATGATAATTTATTTTTAAAAATCTGACACCTCTTCCTTTCTTATAAAGTGCTATGCAAAACAGTGATAGTGATGATGTTATTTTTCTGAAGGAGCATGATTCTCACTGAAATGTATGCAGTACTTTCCTTACATCAATAAAATTGTACCTGTCAATCCTGCATCATTTACAATTTTTTAAACCCAGACTTCATAATTTTTCTTCCCTATATCCTCTATAAAACAAGCATTATAAAAAATAAGTACACCTTCTATTTTTCTAGAGTGTGGATTTTGTGTAAGATCTATGGAAATATACAGCTTTGCAAACTTGAACTTTACTTCTACATATATATGCTCGTATATCTTTCATGTACATAAAAGATCACTGTGAACATCAATTTAGCTGAACTGCAGGCTTTTCATAAGTAGATTCACTTACTGAAAACATTGAACCTCTGGTGGAACATTGCATAGATTCAATCCAAATAAATTAATGATTGGCTAGGCAGACTAAGATAGGATGTTGTTTCGAACATTGTCTTGAATTTTTAATGTTTTCTGTCTTCTTTCAGGAACCTTTTTTTAGATATGAATAAACTTAAGGAAAAAGCTGAATTATGACAAAAAGTTTAGAGGCAAACTGTAGGCCTAGATGTGGCTGCAACAGAAATATTAACCCTCCCTTTAGCCTGCATAACTCTGAATATTGAAAAAAAGATGAAAATCAGTCCTATCTGCTCCAAATTCTGAGTCAGAAGTCTCCTCCATGCATATCACCAAGACTATAAATTAAGAAATAGACTATGGCCATTAATCATAATGTGTTTTAGAGACCATTCTGAGAAAAAAAGACCATGACATAAAAGTTGTACATGATTTAGGAATTCATCCAGAGGTCTCACTTGGTTTTATGAAGAATTCTATTCCTGTTAGAAGGGGACATCCAAGATAAGAACTACATCCCAGTCTTCAGTGAAGAATTTAATTTAAGGTGAAAGATACACTTGTGATGCCTGATTGTATTATTTAAACTAAGTGAAAAAAAAATAATTTCAGTAAATTATTAACAGCTCAGATAGGAACTGTAGCTAATTTAGATCAGTTTCAACATCTGCAGAAATAGGATTCACAAGTGGAAGTATGGTTTTGTATCCTAAAAGCAAAGTCAGAAATTAAGTGGCTAGCAAAATAAGTTTAGGATCTGTTGCATAGTTTTTTTACATGCATACATATATGGACTGTTGAGGTAAGTCTGTTTCTGATGTTGTTGCACTAGTTTAATATATATATGTTTATTTATTTGACCTGCAATAAGACACCAATTTTATTAAGTGTAAGTTACCAGAAGTAAAATGTTCTCACCTTAAAAATTGGCAAAAAAATATACCCAAATCATCCTTTGCCAAAAGTTTTAGATAATAAATGAAACAAAAATAATAGAAAAAATATTCTAAAAGTTTTCTACCTTTTCTTTAAATAGCTTTAATTTCATTTGAATAATTGTAATATTCCTATGCTGCAGAAACAATCTGGAGGAAAAAATAATAAACTGCAAAATCCCTATTGCCCAGGTAAAAATAGTAATCACATCTATCAAGGCACAATCTCAGCTGGTATAACTTGTCATACCTTCACAGCCATAATATCTGGCTACTCTTTTTGCCCCTATCTCCAATGTTAGAGTTCCTCTCATTTCCTGTCCTTTATTAGTTACTTCCACTTAGTTATTATAGTATTATTCTTCTGTGCAATTCCATCAAAGAAATGGAAGCTCTTACTGTGTTGTTGGGGTGATAGTTGAGATGCAAACCACTGTCACACAGAGGAGAGGATGTGCCACTGCTCTGGTCACTGGGGGCACCTAATACAAACATGAATACACACAAAAAAAATCTTCATTAATCTGTAATGCTATAATTCAGATTTGTGTATATGTATGCATTTCTCCTCTTCCTACATGTTTTGTTATATCTAAGACTCATTTACTTTGTCCATTCAGCCAATATGTGGTTTGAGTGGAGTGCCTTCTTAAGCTGAGTGGAGGCTCAAATATCCCTCCCTTGGTGCTTGGCTTAAAAAAGCTAATAATCTGTTTCATAAGGGAAAAACCCAAAGCTTTTTGAAAATTTGATAATAAAAGGGAAGTGTGTAGCTCCTCACTCACTTTTCACTTGAAGGAACTAGTCAGGTGAAGCTTTTGTTCCTCTCAATGAAATTTAGAACTCTAACTGTTCTTGTAAGCAGTTTAGGAAATGACAGTGCTACACCTTAACCACAACATGACAGCACTGATGTAAATGCATGTTTGCATGTGTTACTCAGGGTCCTTCGTGGTACCACAACCTTTCACAAAAGGGACAAATGTACAGGCACACATTTTCATTTAAGAATATGGTGTTCCAATTTTTTTCTTGTCTTCCTAAAATTTAATATCTAGGTGAAAGATAAAGGAAGTATTTCAACAAATGACTGTATAAAATACTAATCCATCATTTAGTTTATTTAATTCTTACTAACTTAAAAACAAAGTCTAGAAGTATTGAAATCAAATATTTGTTGTTATGTTGCTCAAAAATTAAGCAATTCATTTCACCCTCCTAGGAGCAAGAAGCAGAAGGAAAGCAGCAGTGACAAAAGGCAGAGGCTGACATAAATATGTTTAGATATGCTGCTACTGTCTATAATTATGCACCCACACTTACAATTTAATATAATTAAAGGAAGGCAGATGTCTCCATATGCCTCTCATGGGGCTAGTTGACTAAAACTCAGTTGGACTTAAACAAAATACTAATCATCCCAGAGTAATTTATTTTTAGGTCGACAGACACCTCCACCAAAGCCTCTGAATTTTAAATGGTAAAGTTAAGCCCTTTAAACACACACACACTGTCTCATTTTCACATTTACAAGACAAGACTCTTTCAGACTAAAGTGTTATCTGATACTGTCTGAAAAACTGCTTTTAAAGACCCTGCATCAGGATGTGAGCTACCGTAAACTAACATAATTCCACTGTTTTACCTGCAACTTTGCTGATTCACACCAGCCAATTGCCTGGTGATCTGTTTTTCAAGCAAAAATAGCAATTTTTTGCTAAGCTGAATGTTACTACAAGACCTGGCAATACAAGCAGCTCATATTCAGGCAGCAATTCAAACCAAAAATAAAGCTGCTGTCAATCACTTTTAATGCACAGTAGCTTCAGAAGCTACAAGCCTTCAAGAGCACTGAATTGACTTTTCTTTTGGCCAAGGACTAAAGGCTTACATGCACAATCTTCATTCAGTGGCAGTTTGAGAAATGCAGGTGCTCTTTTCAGAAAGGACACAGTTAGGGTCACCTCCTCCCCTGCGTTGCGAAGAACCTGAACCTGGAAGAGAAACACAGACAGGACATCTTGAAACATAAGCAATGCCACACAGCTTTCACATACCAGAACACAACTGCTTAGCAATTTATTACAATTTTTTTTTTTTTTTTTTTTTTTAAGATGTAAAAGCTTGCTATGTGCTTGTCTGTTGTGTTTCCAGTCACATGTGGAGGTAGTGGGGGGAAGGAGCAATGGCATCCTATAATATCACCAGCTTTCCTCTGTGCTATTGCACAGCTTGCTCCCTGACCCTGCTCAGTTGTGCACCTCCTTCTTTCAGATCTGCCAGCATCCACACTAGCATGTTTTTATAAACAAACAAACAAACAAACAAAAACCCCAGCTATTCTTCACACTACCACCCCCCCTCCAGGGGCTGTCTCATAAATCTCCAACCAAAACAATATCAGTAGTTTCCACAGCTGTGCCATAATCCTACGAGTAAATCTTTCCAACAGCCAGAGTTAAATTTAGCCGAAGCACTCCAGCATGGATGAGAGACCTAATCTTCCTTCCAGCCACAGAGGAAAAGGACTGAATTTAAGCCTTAAGTCTTAGATAAGCACAAGCTTGGGTTTTGCCAAAGGGCAGCTTGCATTTTGGACACAGGAATGGGTAAACCACCTCTCTACCTGTGAATGCTTTTAGCTTTCCTCTACTCTCCTACAATTGCTCCTGGGCTCTTGTTCATGACCTTAGCTTTTCTCAGCTAGCTAGACACTTCAAGAATACACGTGAAGAAGCAGAGCTGAGAAAGGGAACCCCAGGCATCTCCCCAGGGTGGCACAAAGCAGCTAGGTAAATGCTACATGTAACACCAGAGGAGTAACAGTCTAATTGGTTTATAACATGAGAGCTAAGAAGAATGAGGTCACATAACTCTGCTTCAGAGAACAACCATCAACTGTTCTTCTGGCTCTGTAAGTTCAAAACTCTTCAAGGGTTGGTTTAATTTGGGGTTCCAAACACAGAAGATTGCTCCATGCCTCTATGGGAGGGGCTGTGCTCATAGGATGTGGAGTGTTCACAGAGCTGCTACACAGTGACACATTAGACAAACACTTTAAACTAGCATGTATCTGTTCCCTTTTCTGCTGTGTTTTTGTGCTAGCTGGATAACACACAGGTCACCTCTCTGCCACGCTCGAGCTTGTGAGAAAGCCTCGTAAATAATTTGTGGAGGAATGCTATTCTTTAACCTATGCCTATCAACAGCCTAACCCACACATTTAATCACATTCATGTACATAACTATATGCAGGGATGTTTTCACATAGAACCACTGCATTGAAACAGTTCTTCAAGAAAAAAAACCATGCTTTTGCCTTTAAACACTACACTTCCTACTCCACACTGGTTGCTACAGCAGAGGAATAACATTATGACAGAATATTTGATTCAGTATCTGAAACCCACTCTGAAATTTTAGGCACTTTATTGTTTACAGCAGCACAATGATTGTCAAGGAACAATTTGCAGTGTAGTGTATTTCTATATAGGTGTGCAAATATACATCACAACAATGATCATCAATTTAAACTGTCTGTAACACAAGACCCTTGGACAAACACTTCTCACTTCTGATATGTTTTATACCTTATAATTTGTAAACAGTACATAGAAAGAAGATGACTTGCAATCTGTCAAACAGTAGATCAAGACTCCAAAGTCCTGAGCTCCATCAGAGAAACCATATTGTGTCATCAGCTTCATAGAAAATTCATCCTTCACTTTTAGGAAGCAGTCACACAGTTTAGAATAGCCATAGCCAAAGCAGAAACGTACAGGCACATATTCTCTACTGAAACAACAGATGTGGGTAGACAAAGTGAAGAAAAAATACAGCTAGCTTCTGCCTTTTAAAAACCACTTCTTTTAACTCAGAAAAGGGGAAGAAATAAGTGGAGAAGTTACAACATTACCAACTTTAATTTATAAATTCACCTTTTAAGGTACCTGAGGGTAAGTAAATATATAACCTGTGAAAGGAGCTGAGGCAGTAAACTCTGCCACTGAATCTTTCTTCTGCCAAAAGTAAAACAAGCCACAAGGTCTACCTGATTTCATTTGATAATCTACTGTTCTGTAAAGGCTAGAAGTATTCTACTGTGAGCTTTTCCTCCAGCACCTCTCTCTTTCTCAAACCTCTTTATCTCATAGGATGAAGAATTTAAACTGGTACACATTTCAGTTGAAATCAGCAATATTTAGTTAACTGAAGCATGTTTTGGATTGTAATCCAGAAAGTGACGAGATTTTGACATGTGGAATGAAAGCTAAAAAGAGAGAAAAGATTAAAAAAGAAAACTACTAAGTAATGTTTACAACAAAGAGATGAGCTATTGAGTCCATTTCACTTACTTTCTAGTCATTAACAAAGTCATTCTTGGAAATAAGGTTAGCTGAAGAAAATGGGATTTTAAATTACATTTTTTTTTGTCTTTTTCTAGCTTTCAGTTGAAAGTTTTACTGTTATTTTAAATTTTTTGTCTTTATTTTACATAAGAAATGAAGAATTCCTGAACTGTTATAAATCAAGCATGCCTTACAGGATTCATTTACTTTATGTCCTCATTCAGCATACAACCATGTCATACTGCTGGTCCTCCACACGGAGAATGAGTTACAATAAGATATCTACTTCTTCTGATGAGTGCTTTTAGTGGTACACCATAACAGCTCGTGTTCATGAAGGCAAAATTGATAACTTTTACCCAAAAAAAGAGAACAACCAAAAGTAATGCAACTAATTGTTATGGGAAGTTATTTTTATGAAAAAAGCTCCACACACTTGAAAATATGGAGTCAAACATTTTTTTCTGGAAGATATAATACAGTATAAAGTCCTAGAGTTTTACACACGAGTGGAATTCTACCAACAGTCAGAGATATCGGCTTATTAATCGTTTCTTCTCTCTTCCTCATTGCCTAACAGTTCAGCTAAAACCTTTATAGAGCTATTTTGGTAAAACGAGGGCTGCGTGATTGTAAACATAGTGCTTCTGCAGGCTTAATAAAGGTACATTCATGAAAAAATAACTTATCTACATAAGTATATCCACGTGGACCTGAAGAACTAGAGGCATATTCCACTAACAAAGCAGTAATGAGCTGTTACCACTGAAGCAAATTAATGAACATACTGAAGAAACCAGTTGTCAATCATGATATAATTTTTAGATAAAGAAATGGATAGATATCTGCTCAGCCATCCTGCTCTCTTACTTAGAAGCAAGCTCCTTCACATTTCTTGCATATACATTGCCAATACGTTGTCAAGCAAGCACTGGCACTGACAACATGTGTGTTTGTTAGTTCTGGCAGTGATAATTCTAGAACTATTCAAAGGTTACTTTCAAAGGTAAGAGGGAGATAGAATATCTAAATTCTTTATACGCCTTTTCCAGGTTTACAGCATATTTTGTGATTTATAAGGAAATCTCAGAGCTAGGTTGATCAGAGTAACTAACACCAGATTTTTTTGCCAGTACCATCACATATTGTACACATGACAAAAATGACAGAAGACTAAAAAGCTAGGGACTACTTTCTGCTTCCTGCAAACAATGAAGCTCTCTTAAGAGTTTGAAGTCATTTAGAAGATTTTCAAGACTTTTCTCATTTTCCAATGCCTCCTTCTATATTTTGATATATTTATGTTAAATCCTCTAAATTCCTCACACGTTAGTCCGCAAATCAGAAAAAAAAGTGCGGTTTGATTAGTTTCTTACCCCCCTCCCCACCCCCTGCTCCACCCCCAAAATCAGTAGGAAGGTGTATTTTTAAATAGAAAAAAAACAGGGAACCATGGAGGTCTTGATTAACTGATGGTTGAACCGTGGCATTGAAGTGGTACCACTTTTTTCAATAGAAAAAATAGTATCAGGTCATTGGCAAAAACGTGGTAATTTTATTCTACCTCCACTTCTTATTCTACAGAACCATGTCTGGACCTTCCAAAAATAAATTTTACCAGGGACACTTCATAAAATTGTTGATTGATCACTGCTTTCCATGATGTTCTCCACCCCTCACAAAAATATTCCAACATTGGGTAGAATAAAACTAACTTTTATCATTTTGTTAAAATTAGTTATTTACTTGATAAGTGACTAACCCACAATTAATTGGCTTCTTTTCAAAATACAAAGTAGCTATTTTTAAGAGATATATTTTTTAAGCTATTTTAAGAAATAGTGCTTCTATAGCAACTGTAGATTGGACATATAGTACATTATTACTATGGAAGTAACCAAAGATAACGCTAGTCACAAATAACAATTCTTATTAGTCCCACAACAGAATTAAAGCCTAATCCACACTGTGGATAAATGGTCAAAAAATTCCCAATATTAATGAAACGCAGTTGTACTAGTAAGAGATTTTCAATTCATTACTGCTGATAGAGGAGGTATTTCTAAATGGAAATTTAAAAAAAAAAATTAAAGTATTTTCCATTATATGTGAAAAGATATAAACGGACTGAATTTCTAGAAAGTAAAAAAGAAACATAATTTTGGAAGGAATTTTAATTTTCAATAAATATAGAAACATTATTTCAAAATCTTCAAACCAAAAATGCAGTAACTTCCTATATTATTATATTTTTTTTTATCTCATATGAAGAGTTTGGTGAAGGTGAGATAAATTCATATTGCTAAATCCGGGGAATATTTGCCTGAAAAAAAAATTAACTTAGTAGTAATCCAAACATTTTCAAAGTCTAACAAAATTGTATGTATCTCCCTAATGTAAGCCATGAAAAAACTCCCTTTGGAAGTCATCTGTACGTCTATGCATTCAACCTGACAATTTCTAATGCACCCCAGATTGTGGAAAATACATAAGTAGGCATCATTAAAAAGATTTCTTTTTTCTCTGTATCATTGAAAAGTACTAATTTGTTTTATTTCCAGAGGGTGCACTGACTATTGAAGATGTATATATTTTTTTAAAAAAGCCCTAGATTTTTAATAGTTTTGAGATCTTCTACAAACCCT